GGTACCTTGGTCCTCCTGGACATGCACCACGGGTACAATGACCGCCACTTTCTCCTGCTCCTGCGTCGGTCCGTCCGCACCGCTCGCTGCGGATGCTTCCGTCATCTTGAAATTCTCACGTTTCAACCACGTCAATCACACCGTCCCTCAATTTTTGGATCGCGTCCCGAAAGTGGCACAAGCGGGCTTCCTCATCCCGGCAGCGACGGTTCAACTGGGTGTTTTCGTCGACGAGGCGGGCGTGGGCGACCTGCAACTGACCGTTTTCCTTCTCAAGGCGCGAGCACTTGGCATGCTGCGCGACGTACGATTCACAGAGGCGCCGGTAGTCAGCCACCAGTCGCGCGTCTTGCTCTGCAAGGACTGGGTTATGATCATCTAGTCGCTGCTGCAACTCGCGAATCGGGGGACAGATTGACTCGACGGCCGCGCCAATGGAAGCGACCTTCTCATCTTTCGACAGCGCTTCCTTGGGAAGTGGCGGCGCCATGGCCTAGGAGGTGTCAGCTCATGCCGGAATCTCGAATACTGTATACTGTATGCTTGGTACAACAAGAAGGAAAGTACCTTCGACGGCTGCTGGGATGGTCCAACAGCCTTGGACATCTTGTCGTTGTCACGGTGTCCCGGGCCTGGTCCTGCCCAGTCCTCGCGCTTGCGCTTGACCGGCCGTCCCCGACCAATGAAGTCACTCATATCGTTTGTTTATGCTTTTGCCGGAATGGAAGAGTGGCCGTGGATGCTTCTGGTCTCCGAACTCGTTGCGGTGGCTCCTTTTATACGGCGAGTACTATGGTGTCGGATTCCTTAAATCTGTCTCACGTTCAAGTAATCGCATCTGGAAAGCTTGCCTGGCCTGGCCTTGGTCTCGAGGTGCGATTTACTCACTATCCTCTAGAAACCCTCTTTGGGGATTTCAATCGTGAGACAAGTTTCTGGTTCGCCGTGTTCTGGTGATGGTTTTACCCACAACCCTACAGCACAGCGACGATCAAGTCAGACGCGGGCAGTTCGCTCCACGGCTGGTAGGGCATAACGACCACAAAAGGCTTGATCATTGACCTGGCCGCAGATTTCGTGTAGATAATGCTAACAATATTGGATTTTGCGCGTTCCCCAAGATCCTTGTTCTAACCATGCCATGCGTTATTTATGTCTCCGCATGGTTCAAAATTGGTCAGCGCGAGGGTATTCCTGATTGTTGATGGCTAAATCCGGCTGGTTCATATCATCTAAGGCACCAGTAGTTGCAGCTAACCAGACATGTGGCCATGATCGGGCCTTGGTCCTTGCCCTGAGCTCCGGGTAGAAATGGATCATCTCATACTGTGTCAAGGAGATGGACCTTTTCGCTTGTCTAGCCGATAAGTATCGGTCACTGAGGTCACGTACTTTTAAAAAACATGAGAATAAAATACACATTTATATCTAATATTACCGCTATTGTGGTCTCAACTGATGACCTTAAATGCTGTACCAACATGGACTATCATAGCCGAAGGCAGCTCGACAATTCATAGAATGAGTGGTTAACTCAGAGTGCAAAGTCGGGCAATTCCACCGCTGCGAGCACAACCGCCTGGCCCTCAAGATAGTAGTAACCATCAAGGCAAAGCACAGCGACGACTTTCTATGTTCTCCAACGGACAGGCTCTCGGTGACTGAGATATTCCGTCTTGAGCAAACGGTATCAGCCAGTATGTTGCCCACCGTTACCCTCTGTTTACCATGGTTGCTGGTTCTGGCCGACCAGATTGCATGGAGACGTCCAGCGATTCTTCACTTCAAGACGGAGAATTTGACCCTTTCGTTTTGGCCTTATCCATCCCTAGAGTAATCCAGAATGGAGTGTCTGATTCTTTACCCCCATGCCAAGCGCAGTGTTTCCAGGACCACGAATAGCGCAATCACACAAGATCTATGTCGACGCCTCGGAAATTGGAAAATGTGAGAATTAAACAAGAAAGAACCACTACGGGGCTTATACCCCTGAATGGCGAGCCAGAAAACGTCAGCGGTGGAGCTGGAATCAAGAAAGGCCCAACAAACCTTGATTGAGCGTTCCGGTCACCGTGGCCTAGGAACCCATTAGACGCAGGTCAGCAAAACAAAGAAAAATTACCCACTCGACGCAATGCCATCTGATTCGTCCATGGAGTTGCCTTGTATGGAACTTGATACTACCTAGGAGGTCACGCTTGTAACCGTGCCACGATAATATGGATCCCGGGAATCACTCTGGGCGCAAGTGAATTATTCTCTTATCGAGGGTGTCTCTCTTCTACCTATTTGACAATACAACCTGCACCAACCCAGTAGCCCAGACAAAGAGCGGTAGTTATTATGGTGTCTACACGCCTCAGTATGAGGAGGATTATTTTCTTGGAATGCCATTTGCCAAGCCCTCGCTGGCACACTTGCGTTGGGCCAACCGCGAGAGTCTTCATTAATGAAAATGAGTCCTGGTCGGGACTGTGCCTGCTACCGGCTAGGCAATGGTGAGAACCCAAATTAACTGTTCTACGAGACTAGGCCCTTACTTGTGGCATGAGTAAGAGGAGCGTATAGGTTACTGCAGCGATCAAAAGGGCTATCTTCAGGTCGTGCTCGATGTCTTTTTCTTTACGTTGTCCCCTCCTGACCAGCAAAATAGAGCGAGGATTGTCTCTATCTAAACGTGGCCCGTCCCGCTGGATACGACAATGCAAGCCTTCCTGTCCTCGTGTAGACTCATAGTATGTAGTGCCACCTGAACCACAAGTTACTCCCGACGCTGAATGAATGAAACAGGTGGTTGCTTCGCACAAGGTGGCACTCCCGACCTCCGATACAATCTCACATTCATTGTTGAACACTCAGTCACTATCGGCCAGCCAATTATTGCAGTGAGTATTGCCTATCGTCTCGGCCCTTGGGGTCGAGCTCGCCAATGAGGGATCGTTGAATCTGTGGCTCAAAGACCAGCGCCTGGCCCTGCACTGGGTGAAAGAGAACATCGCAGGTTTCGGTGGTGGGTTAACGCAATCTTAACAATGAATATAGCCTAGCTTACTAACATGATTATTCATGTCCGGGTGATCCAAATGAAGATCTGATTTACGGGCGGAGTGCCGGTTCCGAGAGCGTAGGATACCAAGTCCGCGCGTACAACGGCCGAGATGACGGGCTCTTCCGCGGGGGCATGATGGAGTCCGGCGCGGTGCGAACTGGAAGTGCCTCGAAATTGACTTGGACATACGAGCTATGGTTTCAAAAGATAGCAGACGAGGCAGGATGTTCCCAGGCCATTTGCAAACTGGACTGCCTACGCCGCGTGCCCTTTACGGTCTTAAACAACATCCTGAACACGACTGCCAACGACACAACGCCTTACAACTGGAGGCCCACAGTGAACGGTGACTTCGTTGCGCGGTTTCCCAGCGAGCAACTCGGCGCAGGAGATTTCGTCAAGGTACCGATAATGATCGGCTACACTACGGACAAAGGAACGACAGAGTGCCCGGAACCAGTGAACACCACTGCCGAACTAAAGGAATACCTCAGCTGTACGTACCCCCATCCTTCCCCTTTCCCTCACTAACAACAACCCAGCAACAACAACCTACGGCTGGGCCCTCGACGAGCGCGTCGTATCCGAGCTCTTCGAACTCTACCACAACAACACCTCCTTGGGGATCCCATCATTCGAGAAACCCGGCGGCAACGTCCCCTTCCCACAGACCTACGGTGCCATATCCCGCCAGATAGCAGCATACCACGGTGACGCCCAATTCATAGCCGCGACCCGCTACACCTCCGAGCTATGGGCAGCACATAATCTGACTGCATACTGCTACCAATTCAACACTAAGACAGACGATTACAAGTAGGAAGAAGGCGTGGCGCATTTCTCTGACGTGATATTCATATTCAACAATCTTAGCGGTCATGGGTTCAGTCCGAACCCGTTTGTCGATGCTCGAGAGAGCTATACTGATCTTAAATATCTCATGTCCGGCTCATGGATCAGCTTCACTAATAGTCTGGATCCTATTGAGTGGACTAGGTGCGGGCGGAACGCCACTCGGACGGAGTATCGGACGGTATATGATCTTGAGAACCCATTATGATGTAGGATGCGAATGTCCTCGTCGTATGCGGCGCCGGATACCTGGCGCAAGGAGGGTATTGCATTGATCAATGCTAATCGGAGGGCGTATCAGAGATTGTGGGTTAGTAGTCGTTTATAGTGGTGTGGCTTATAGTCGTTTCGTGTTTGTTTGACTTTAGAATTGAATTTCAGACTCAGACCACTTTTTTGAGAACAAACTTTGTGTGAGAAACGTACTACTGCGGGCAGAATATCCTATAGGCGTGTCCATATCTATAAATCCACCGAGCAGAGTCTATAGCAAACTAGGTAGATTCTCAAGCTTACGTACAGACAGAATTTCACCGCAATATCGTGGTAAGATGGCAGTTTTCCATAAGGAAAAAAAACAAATACATATACTTGGCTATATCAATAATTCAAAGCGAGACATGTCAGCGGTGGGAAACGTGCACACTTTAAATTAAAGCCATATGTTCTTATAGCGCGGCAGTTCACTGGCTGACAGCAATCCCAAGGTCTTTCAGAATGATGGTAGCTGCCTTCTCACCAATTGCATATGCAGTGGTGGCCGTGTTTGCGCCAATGTTTTGAGGAACGACGCTCAGGTCCACGAGCTTCAGGCCCTCAATTCCATGAACATTGAGGTCGGCATCAATTACGCCGCCATCAGCCAGTGCGCCCATCTTGCAAGTACCGAGTGAATGCCAGGTGGTGCCGACATTCTTGCGCACCCAGCCCTCGATGACCTTGTCGTCCTCTGCAGTGTATTGGATGTTAGAGATGTTCTTATCATTCGGCTTGTCCAGCTTGACAAGGGCCGCGGCGGAACCCTCGGCAAACAGCGGATGGGCGCCAACAAACTCTCCGCGGTAAACATCCATTCTGCGCACGATTTCCCGCTGCTTCTTGTACGCCCAAATGAGCTTCTTGACATCCAAGTCACTTAGAATCCCGTCTCAAACGTAATTTCTGAGTCGGGGTCTGGACTTGTGATGTGGACGTGGCCTCTGGCGTAGGGGTAGACGGTGAACAAAGAGATCGCGAGGTATTGTCCTGGTTCAACGGTGGATGGATCACCAGGGAAGCCGCCCAGCAAAGCCATTAGCGCCAGGGGCTTGTCGGGAGTATGGAGATAGTCCCTTGCGTATGCCGCCTCGAATTCAGGTCCAAGGGCAGTGACATCGGCCTCAGTGGGACGCAGCTTACAGGAGGCGTCTTGGCCATTCCACCCCATGATTGGCGCATTTGACTTGATTAACGCGTCCATGTTAATTCTACCGGCCAGGGGGCGTCAAACGTCTCGTTTGGCTCCAAGGCGCTGTAGTATGTCTGAATCAAGAGATGATGATCCTGGTAGTTCCGGCCGATTCCAGGGATATGGGCCACAACTGAAACGCCAGCCTTGTTGAGAATGGCTTCGTCGCCGAGACCGGACCTCTCGAGAAGCAATGGGGTTCCGAGAGCGCCACAGGAACCAATTACGAGCTTCCTGGCCTTGACGCGCTGAACATTGGTGTTGTCCTCCTTTTGGAAGGCAGGGTTTGGCTTGAACTCAACACCCACAGCTCGTTTGCCCTCAAATAGGATCTTGATAACCTTGGTCTCAACGAGGACGTGGAGATTTGGGTGTAGTCCATCTTCCAGCTTCGGATGCAAGTAGTTACTGGCAGCATCCTGGCGGCGGCCCTTTGAGTCGACAAAGCGGAGGGAACGTTGAACGCCGTTGCTGGTCTCGAGGTCTTGAAGATCCTCGACCGTCGGGTATCCTACCTCGTTGGCGGCGGCAATGAATTGATCTGCCGCACGCTCAGAGTAGAACGTTCCGTGAGACACAACAATAGGGCCATCTTTTCCATGAACAGAATCAGGGCCAGGGCCATGATACGTCTCAAGCTACAACGAGCAATGGCGGGTTAGTCAACAATGTAGTACATACTTGCAATCGAATCACCTACCTTCTTCAAGAAAGGAATTGTTTCATCTGCAGAGCATCCGGGAGTGGCCCACGAGTCCCAATCATGGCGTTGAGCACGACTGTACATCATCAAGTTGATTGACGAACCTCCGCCCAGAACACCACCGGCTGGGACGATCATTTCGCGGTTATCCAACTGTGGCTCCGCATTCCCCTTGTAAAACAGGGTTGCGGTACTGGTGGGAAGCAGTGCAGTTGGGAAAATGAGCGGGAAGGCAATCATGTGGTTGCCCTTATTGTTCTGTCCGCCCTCTACTACGAGGATAGACAGCGAGGGGTCGGCATCGGCGAGCCTGGAAGCAACGACGCACCCCGCGGTACCGCCTAACGAAAGAGGGAATGAGCTCGTTAGTATAAACTAATGAAGAGCAGAAGAGGTGGATGAACAAACCCCCGGCGATGATGATGTCGACCTCGTCGATGCCTTCGGGGAGCCGAGTGTAAATGCCCATATTCTTGGATTGTTGGATGTGATGGTGCGGGGGATGGTGATGGAATCAAATTGCGCGCAGTGATGGGATCATGCTAGGCTTTATAGCTCCGGATCGGTCGCCCAGCTGGCATCAACCCCGCGGGATGTTTGTGACGCATGGATCCCTGTAAGCCTCTAGTGCCAACCACTTGATTTTGGTGGACAAGGCTGCCTGGCTTGTTACCCACTACCTGCGGTCAGCAACAGGCGAGTGTCTCAGCTATGGTTGGAGGTTTGCGAGTGGGCTATACAGCGCCCACAGCTAATGACTAGGTTTATTCTGGGTAAAATTGCGTTACGCCGGGTGAGATGGTCCCTAGCTTGCTGTGCGCTATTTTAGGTGATGGATGCTACCTCGCTTGTGTGCCATTTGCTATTCCAAATCTTACTATAGTACCGCAGCGTTAGGATACTTACAAAGACGTGCGAGCAATTATTATTGGTTGAGAAGATTACAGTTCTATCATGCTAACAGTAAAGTATTGTGTATATCCAAATTCGCTTGGAGCAGACGAGGAAGTGTGCTATTGCAGCGCGGTGAAATCCAGCTTGTCAAATTTGAGAGGAAGGGCAATGAGGAAACCAAGCGCCGCACCAAACAAATTCGGGTAGAACAAAGAGGCCACACTCTGCGTAACTGCGTTGGTGACCTGATCACGAACTTGCTCGGTCAACGTCGCGAACACGCTACTTCCCACTCCATCAATTGCGCCTTTAATTTCGCTAACAAGAACGTTTGGTAGAATGTGCGATATCTCCTCCGTGGCATGGTTGACAAGAACAGAGGTGGCGACGCCTAGTGACAAGGCGAGACCACCCATCTTGGCGTCCAGGGTATCGCCAGCGATATGAAGATACGCCTGATACAACTTGCAGTGCAGCGACAAGACATTGCCCTGCGAATATGAGGCCGTAGCCGTTGACTTTTACTTGTCCTCTTCTTATGGAGTCCCCGATTTTTGGTCCTAGAATGGGCCCAGCATCCTATCCCCGCTTACGCATCCCAAAGGCATCCCAAGGATGTCTTTCAAAATGCCTCTGCCATGCTGTCAGCGCTTATCAATTGGCAGGTAATGCACCTTACAGTCATCCATAAATACACGTTCGAATCAGTCACTGTTCCTCTATTCTTCCTTCTGCACGTGGAGTGCGCCCTCGGCAACCTCAGACAATGTTGCGAGCAGATCTGGGAAGTCATACGTCCATGAAGGCGGACCACCGATCACGCGGATCATTGGCTTCCGATGTTCATGTGGCCAAGGGACGAGCGGGATTCCAATAACCTAGGCAGATTATGAGTTTTCCCTGGGACAAACCCAATGGATGCTAGAAGTATCCTGGACTCAGAGCGTTCTGTTGAAATCACCTCATGTGGGTTTTAGTATGGAGAGCATACCGGGTTCTGCTTTAGCATGCAAGAAGAAGTTAGAGTGACGAATTTAGATAGCCTGTATTATTGTATGGGTTCATTGTTTCCTTGCTTTATGGTATCTATTTGCATCGCTTCCATGGACCAAGTCACTCGTCTTCTGACCATCCGACGACTCGAGTCAGGTAATCAAGCCCCAATTTTCTGGGTTGCGCGCAGGCAAAACAGCCCGACTGTACATAGTTTGACCAGTCACTCGTCAGCCACCGCTAAGTGTCACAAGGATCGGTGAGGTTACATCAGCCCCTGGTCTACCCATGCCTACGACCATGGCCTCAATGTTACCTTCAACTTCGGGAAAAGTGGGAGAGATGGGCCTTGGGAGGGCGACAGCGTGGCCGCGACCGAGCTTCCTGAGCATCCCAATGACGTGGCTGGGATGAGGGCCTTCATGTCATAGATCTATGATGTCCCAAACCTGGCTGCCATTCACCCTCAGACTGTGCTGATCTTTATTTTCAAGTCTTGAAACCAGATTCCGGTAAGAATATATCTATTGCGCTGCCATGCGACTTTCTACGAGACCTCGAGCTGACAGAGAGCTATAGAAAGCTGGAGGAACAAGCGAAGGATCAAAACCAGGAAAATCACCACCTGCACAGAAGAATAGGCGGCATTTTTGAGAGGATCCCGACCTCTCACACCAAGTCCCGTTGTTCAGCTCCGTAGAAGGATTAGGAAGCGGAATGAACGTCGCCGGGCGAAGGAGAAGGAACGGAACATTTCTCATGCCTGGCCGGGAAAGTGCCAACGGGACAAAGTCTGAGTTACATTGATCGGAACTACTGTCTTTCGCCAAGCTTGTCCGATAGTGGCCAGTTTTTGTTCGATTCTGAGAGTACATTATTAACTTCATTTGATGGAGAATGTTGGTGCTGGCTGCTGCAGGGCAACCTGGCCTGTCGATCCCAAGATAAAGAAATCAGTTATGTAAACAGAATTCCTACCGCTAGCTGCATCTGGTCGCCAGTGGCGTTGGTGGTTGAACGAATCAGCCACAAAGTTGATCATTTTGACTCCAGCGGTTCGGTGCAGTGGATCTTCATCATGTCCGCGAGAGAAAGACGCGAGGATGTGTCACCAACGTGTGTCGAGCCCCTCCCCCTGCTGGTGCTATCTCTAGCGTTTGAACCCATCGAAGCCACAAACTCGAGTCTAGTTTAATTTGTCAAAGGTGACCGGCATATTCGGATGTAACGTGGAGCTGGCACTGCTTTGTGACGCGAAACTTGGTGCAAAATGGCCATGTAATCATGGCGACAATGTGGTAGAGACGCTCATAGGTCCAGTCTACTAACAGTGTGTTTCCAAACCTAGATTTAAACTTGTCCCCAAAGGAAGGGTGCCTTGCGAGCGTTTTCTTTGTCTTCCGCGATATGACTCTCCCGCACAGTAGTCAACGAGGGAGGGGGTCCGCTGAATAAGCATTCTCTAACCACCCAGGCAAACTATAAAAAGAGTCATCTGACTCCTGCACTACAGTACGTATAGTATCGTGGATGTCACATGGATTCAGGTATGTTAGGCTTGTTGGTTTAGTGTGAACTCCATACTCACCTGCTCTAGCATTTAAGATCCAAAGCCGCAGAAACCCTCTCACTTATGGGCATTCGTTCGAACCGGTTCACATGTTTCATGCTTGTGGTAAAAGGCGTCCTGGTGTTCTTTGACCCGCGGTACCCTGTGTTGGTTCAGAACGGGATACTCTTTGGAATCAGTCTATGTCTGGTTCTCTACCTTCTCCACGACGACCGATGTATCAACCAGTCGCTGCTGTCTCGCTTAGACGGTGTAGTGCTCGCCGAGCTTTACATTGTCACGGGCCTTGTCAATCTAGTAAATTGGCTACGCCCCGAAATCCTTCCTGATCCTGGGGTCGTCACCGTAGCGACGATGATAATGGTATATGTATCATGGATGATACAGCGGCGGATACTGTGTGCTGCGCTATGTGCTGTTACTCATGACTCTTCGGTAACCTGCAAGCGACTGTCCTGTTCCTGATATATATGTCGGTATGAACATCTCTGTTGGTATTGGTCTTGCATGCCCCGCTACTGCACTTTTCCTGTTTTCATGTGTACGCGAACAAATTAATAACTCTAAAACATGCTCTGGTACGCCCTTGAGGACAATGGCTCTGGCCACTGTAGCGTACATTCTGGGCTATAATGGCTTGACCGGGCTCTTCTGAATCTGACTGATCATGGACTAAGGGCTTGATTTTGATCACCTAACGGTTCAAGACTGTGCGCCATAAGTTATTTTAACTGAGGCTGCATGGCATATATTGTACCTATACCTCTACAGTATCATGGTTCTATCAGTTGTCGTTTTTCTTTAACACTCTAGGTATATTCGGCAAGGTTTCGGTCGTTCCTGTTCTTGGCTGAGTGAGGCGGGTTTTGGTTCCAATTCGAGACTCAAGTAATCTAGCTGACCTATAACCACATCACAATCTGTAGGGATTCCGTGCCACATGGGCCGACAGACACTGATCTCCAATGCGCAAGTCACTATTTCCCCGCCAGGCAGAAAACTACTAAGGAACTTTTTGAACTCTTGTGTAGTATCCGACACGCGTGCAGTCTGTCAACTTAAGGTAACCAATAAGTAATACAGAGGTAGGTGTGTGTGTGTGTGTGTGTGTGTGAATTCATACGTTAGCCCCTCGCCTAAGATCGGCAAACTGAACTGAGGTACAAGTGTGATGGTATTTCTCACTACCTATGGGGGTAAGTACAGCTTTTGATGGCTATAGTTGTTGCGTTCTCCAGCCTCCCGCACTTCCTGATCAGGCTACCTTTGGCAAGCGTGTGAATCCTATGTAAGACACACATCATAATCGTATATCACATTGTATCATATGACCTGGGATCCAACCCCTAAGGCGTTATGCAGGGTCCCACTATTTCTCCTGTATATCCATTCATCGTAAACTTTTACTTTCTTGACAAACAAAAAGCCTCATCATGGCCGGTGGTTGCCAGTGCCTGGGGTTGTGTTCTGCCACCCTCGTATCGCGCTACTTTGGCATCGCAGCGATGCCTTCGCGAACCTGTTACGCGCTTGGTCGGGGTTGCTGGCGGACAGGATGTGGTGCGCCCCGTTCAAGGCGGGTTGATACCAGACTGGGTCGCGAGGAAAGGCCCCCTCGCAGTCATTGATGACTGTAGATGTTCTGCCACGCCTGAGGGTCAGTGAAGAGGATATTGTGGCCGCCAGGCGCACGACAGGGCCATAGCGCTCGTGCAATGTCCTCACCGAGTCGGTAGACTGACCGCTGGTGATGCGGTGGAAGTGTGGAATCCGGCTGGGGATCCAAGATTTGGGCTCCGGAATTCGAACTAGTGGGTAGAAATAGAATGAGTAAGTGTAGATCGCCCGGATTCACAGACAATTTAACAAAACCTGATTGTGATTCGGTCAGTCCGATCGAGGCCAATCCCGTCCCGTCCTTACACTAGCATGGCCACGCTGCCGGTCATTGCCCGAGTCATGCTATTGCATTAACCAACATTGTCTGGTATAGTCTGACCTCCATGTTGTTGCCTTGGCCCTGTTGTCGATGGCTTGTGTTCGTCCTACCCGATCCCCAGAAGGGGAGGGGCCGATCTCTTAAGCTCTTGGACCTGGGCTGTATGCATGCACACATGCCCAGCCCCGCTTCATCCATCAGAGCATCGGCTCCATCGGCATATCGTTCGCCTTGCCAGTGAGGATAATCTAAGAACTGGCTGGACCATAAGTCCAGTCTCTTGGGCCCTTAATCCCGCTACTCCCGCTCGGCCGTCTTTGAGTCTGACACTTGATGTCCCACCGGCTATAAATGCAGGCTGCTGAAAATCCATCCCAAAGGTCTTGCAAACTATTCCTTTGGAGCCCTTCTTTGCCGTTGCTATTCTTCTCGCATCCTAGTCCCATTGTCGTCATTCACCACCACTATGATGTCTGCATTCGGTACTCGCGACCGAATTCTGCGTCTCCGCATCGCCCACTACAAGGCCGAGGACAAGACAGAAGAAGAAGCGCACAGGTTCGGCACTCTCTTTACCGAGAAGGCCGCATACCACCACGCATAACATGGCATTCGGGGTATGCTCAGGTTGGTCTTCTCGCTCGCTCTCCCCCCTCTCTTTCGGGCCAGATCGTCGAGTCCAAGCTATGGCACATTCGAGGAAATGCAGGAGATCCCCACAGATCGCAACTACCGCAAAACCGAGGATGGCGTCAGTGAATCGCACTAGACGAATGCTTTACGACCAACTCAGGAGGTAGTACGCGAGTATGTAGCAAGCCTTCAGAGAACAAATCATGTCGAGACTCAATCTCATGTCCATCGTTTCTTGTGTCCTAGTCTTGAGAGTAGGCATGGTACCTCTTAATGGTTGATGACGCAAGCCTGTGATGCATCATACACCCCCCCCCCCCCCCCCCCCCCCCCCCCCCCCCCCCCCCCCCCCCCCGCCCCCGCCCTTTTTTTTCCTTTTTCCCACCCCACATATCCTTGTTTCCCGATCACCCCCCCCCCCCCCCCCCCCCCCCGGGGCTTCTGCGAAGAGAGAGTCGTTGATACAGTCTGAGATATCATGATTTTGTAGCGCGGTTCAATGTGTTAGCGAGCCATCATCTGAATAGTGGGACAACCCTGGGTGATGCAGCTAGAGTAACCACAGTGCCAAATCCAGCAGTTCCGTATAAGGCAAAGCTCGACACGCGTTACCAATCGAACCAATTTCAGTTTTTAAACGTGCTGTCATACATGGGACTCCACTGCTACAACTTAGCTCTGCCCAGCTACGGAAGGTGGCCGGTGGTGTTTACATCGACTTCAATAGGACTAGAAGCAATAGCATTCTGGAAAGGGGTTTATCTTCTCATCGAAACCATAGGACAGAAAAAAAATAGGTCTTCTACGGTGAAAGGGGCTGTTACAGAAGAATCACCAAAGAGGCTCTGGTCAGTGCCGGTTCGGAGGGTGCAGAGTAGACGAGGCGTCCGGGCTCGTGTGCTTCACGCTGGACTTTGTGTTGCCCTTAATCTTCCCCGCCCACGTCCTCGCATCCCGTGGTCAAACTTCACTTAAGTGCACCGGAGAATTTTTTTTTTTTTTTTTTTCTCCAGGAGTGTGAGCAGGAGGCACAGCCCGGCAAAGGCCGGGGCCACGGCCCACACGATGCGCAGAACGTCGACATGGACGCTCACTGCATCGCGAATGTCGGCGGGCAGGGTTCGAACATAGGAGCTCGAGACATGCGAGTAGGCGGACCCGCTGCCCAGGGTGCGCTGCACGCCCGGATCACTCACGCGCTTGGTCGGAATATCTTGGATCTGGGAGTTGAAAACGGCACCCGGGATTGCCACGCCCCGGACGCCGCCATGCGCCCGCAAAAAGCACCAGGTGGCCGTCGCCGGTGCCACCTGAGTGTCCTGCAAGCGGGGTAGAACATGGATAGGCTCGTTTTAGCCCAGATGGGTGAGCAGATTGCCGCACAGCATGGCGATGGGCAGACTGGTGATGACAAAACGGGAGCAGCAAGACACCACTGCGCTCGGGGGAAACCAGGAGGACACTCTGGAAGTAAATGTGGAGGAAACATATGGTCTAGAAGGACGGGCAGAAACTAGCAGAAGAAGCAGAAGAGAGAAATAGAAGTGGTCTGGTTGTCGACCAAGATGAGCGTAGGTAAGGTCGGCTCCTGGCAGTAGCGGGTACTCTCGTAGAAGTGAAAGAGCCCCGGCCCCGCATAGCCGAAGGGGACGAGTACATGCAAGGAGCGCCAGGCATAACGGGAGCCGCTTCAGGAGAGGGCGATGAGGACGGCGGTGACCGAGGCGATCAGAATGAAGCCCCACGAAGTCGATGCGGCTCACCTTCCGAATGCTTCTGGATGTCACTGCGCAACGTCGAAATTTATGTCCTGCCCCATTTTCTGATCGGGCTAATATTTTTCAGTTACTACCAGATTAAGGAGTTTATACCAACGAAGTAGATGATTGTAGAATTCTCTAATAAGGTTTTCAGGCCGTCAAAAGAGCTATTGCCTTGTGGGGACATGTCGGTCCTATTCTTCAACCATGCTGGCGACGGCTATATTATCACGCGACCAAAATCAAACGGCATGGGTATCCGTCTGTTGCATTGGTACCGGCTTTTTCAGTTTGATATGCCCTCTCCCCATTCACCAACTTAGGCTTCACGTCTTGGAACCCTGTGTACTGAGCAAGGCGGCTTATGAATCCCGCTTGGTTCGACCTCAATGCATCCCATTCATCATACGCCGTGTAGGTATCGAATGTCCGAACCGTCATCACAAGGATAACTCGCATCTCATTGATGACAAGAGTCTGACCGATACAATTGCGTGGTCCCTGCTCGAACGGGCGATATGCAGCCGGGTCTGGATAAAGTTCATGGGCTGGCTCAACCAGCCACCGCTCGGGGAGAAACTCATCCGCTCGCGGTCACACCCTTGGGTTGTGGTGGGACTCTTGGTGTAATACGGTGACGCTAGTATCGTCCATCAAAGGATATTCGTTACCATGCCTATCGGTTAGTGACTGGCCATTGCAGCGTTGGCGCATTGTTCCCGCAGGCGGATAGAGCCGAAGAGTTTCCTTGATCACTGCCATCGTATAGGGGCATTGATTGAGCAGGGCCGGCTGTTCGCAGAGGAGCTGCGCTACAGCAGAAGGATCTGGTCCAGAAATCCGGTCATGTTCCTGCCGGACTTGAGCCAAGGCTTCAGGATGTTTAGACAGAAGGTGGTACACGTAGGCGATACTACTGGACGTTGTATGTGTCCCAGCGAAGAGAAACAACCGAAGCTGGTAGGTTAGATATTCTGTGAAGTGGTTGTCTAACTTGGTGGCCTCTGGGATCTCTTCCTTTTTGGTCTCTAGATATGCCTCCTATATTATGATTATGAATTTGGCTCGCTTGGAACGAGAGGACGGTTCCTGCTTTGATCGCTTCATCTCGGCGAATTTCTTATGAAGTGCTTGATGGATCCACTTATTAAAGAGGCGGCCATAGTATCCCTGAACCAGTGGTCGTAGTGGATGTGCGAGCACACGAGGATCCCCAAAGGAGTGCCATTTGGTGATATGGGCCAGGGCGGTTGCAATGATGTTGTCAGAGTTTTGATGATCAAGATCCGCACCACTGCTCTTGTGGTTAGCGTGTGGCGTACACGGCAAAACAGGCGGAACATACATGATCGCTTTGAGAATAACATCCACAGTTAGTCTGATAGTCAAGTCGTCTAGGGCAAACGCATGTCCAGATCTGGCTCTTTCGCGTAGTTTTATGGCAGAAGACCCCAACAGACTTGATGACGTCTGGAAGAAGATCGTGCATGCTACCTGCACTGAGCCCAGGAATGAAGATCGATCTCCACGCCTTCATTCCGCGTGACTCATGGAGATCATGCTATCGCCGCCTGTAATCGGTCGCACGAACCGGGGCTGGATGATTGTTTAAGGGAGATTGAACTTCGTTGTAGTCTACGACGCCGCTTCTGGATAGATATTGTGCGGGGGAAACAGGCCAGGTATCCAGTGAAAAGTTTTCTTTGTCGGTAAATTCTGAAGCCAACTCTTGTGTGGCAAGCGTAACGTTGGCATCGGCGGGTAGACGAATGACATAGTCCGAAAGCACGAGGATATGACCAGTTATCCAATCCCATCCCACCGGCATGGGCTGGATATAGCGTTAATAGCATATATTTTTCGGTGAATGTTCGGCTTACAGTGCCTTGTTTTCGGAGTCGGTCGATTTGGACCGGTGTTGGTACAGCCTATAAAGCCCGTACGCAACGGCGCTTGCAAGCGGTACGCATATTTTAAGAAAATCGACAGAGGCCATTGGTGATTACTTCACGGGAGACCGGCGATAGGAAAAGACAGTTTAGTGATGGAGTTTAGGGGATGGCGAGAAGGAGGCGGCAGTGAAAGCGAAAGGTGAGAGAGATTTACGCGGGCATTTGCTCGAGACGGCCACACTGTAACTACAGTACCTTTGACACTCAAAAATCCTCGCGACCTCAAACTCCGTTATTGGGAGTAGCATACCCTCTGTGTACCATGACTACCAGTTCTGGCAGGTCTGATGCATGGAGACGTTCAGCGGTTCTCCACCCGAAGAGGAGAATTTATCCCTTTCGTTCTAGCCCCCACCATTCGTAGAGTAATCCAGAAGGTCATGTTTGAGTCTTTGCCCTCTTGCCAATGGCAGTCTCTATGTTCACAATTGCGCATTCACACAAGATCTGCCTCCACGTCTCGAACCAGGGTGATATGTGAGACTCGAACAAGAAAAAGAACCCGGTATGCTATGCCTCGAGTAGCGAGCAAAGGAATCCTAACGGTGGAGCTGGAGACTAAACAAGCCACAATAAACCTTATTTGAGCGTGCTGGTCACCGCTGCCTAGGAACTCATAATCATTAGACCCAGGCCATCGAGACACAGGAGAGTCACCCACCCGGCGCAATCCCATCTGACTCGTCCATGGCGTTGCCTCGTATGGAACTCGATGCTACCTAGGAGATCACGCTTGTTCTCGTGCCACGATGATCCGCAGTCCAGTAGTCATTCTGGGCGCAGCTGAGTTTGCACTCTCGTCGAGGGTCGCTCTCTTCTTGCCTATATCGATAATAAAGCGCGGACCTAATAAAGACGCCTAATAACAATTCTAGGGGTACAAGGTTCTGTGATACTCGACCACCCGAGTTTAACCATTGAGTTTCAGGGGGGCATTGTCCGTCCTAAGGGTCTATAGGATCAGTCCTAGTCATTTGATCTTCTCTACATTATACGGGGTATGACTCTTGCGGAAATAACCAAGTCGACAGCGGTTGGGTACTGGGCACTGGTGCTATAGAAACTGGGAAATAACAGCGAATGAAGAAATTGATAGTCATTGTGCTCTGCCGGAGACCACAGTTGCCCGACTGTTTCCATGTGGTCTTGACTAAGCCCACTTGCGCAGACATGCAACCCGTTTTCCAAGTATTTCGGTGTACTTGAGACGCCTAAAGTATTGACCTGCGGCGCGGTCCCACCAGTCGCGCACATCTTCACCCTGCCATGTCCACGCCGATCATTTCATTTCCCTAGTCGGCCCCGTCTCTGATTGAGGACCTGACGTCTTGGGGCCGAAACCCTGCGAGGGCATGGTCATTTCGGGAGGTAGAGTCGGGTTTTGCTCTTCGTATATGGTCACCATATGCCCCTGGGCATTTAGTAGGAGGGACATTAAGTAGGAGGGACATTAAGTAGGAGGGAGCAAGCGCACAGATGGCCAGATACCCCACCCGGCACTTAAC